AGGTAGCTCAGGGTCCTTTTTGCGAGCAGAACATAGATATTCTGTGAAGTGGTCACCAGTCTATGCTTCGTTTCTCCAATGTAGAGGCACTGTGAGCAGCGAATGCGGTAGACTAGATTCTGGGAAGTGCAGGTGAAGTGTTGCTTCACCTGGAAGGTATGTTTGGGTCCTTGCATTAGTGGGGAAGGGGGAGCTAAATGGGCAGGATTGCATCTTCGCCAGTTGCAGGGGAAGGTGTCATGGGGTTGTGGGGAGGTGTTGGGGGTGAAGGAATTGTGGACCAGGATGTCCTGGAAGGAACGGTCCCTGCAGAAGGCGGACAAGGGAGGGGAGGGGAGTATGTGTCTGGTGATGGCATCTCACTGGAGGTGGCGGAAATGGCTTCTGATGATATTCTAGATGTGGATGCTGGTGGGATGGTAGGTAAGGACAAGGGGAACCCAATCGCTGTTGTGGGAGGGAGCAGGTATGATTGGTTATTAATAATACATTCCTATGTGCTCCTTGGTATGGAATTGAAAATAGCTTTGTTAATTGATGATCCCAGCATGTAGTCTCCACTTCAGATTTCTTGATTCATCATTCATTCCATTTCATCCTCAAGTCCTTAGCATAATAACTGGTTGAACAGTATCATTTTAGTTAGGTCAATGAAGAAAGCTAAATTAGATGAAGTATAATGGGTTACTTTGATCAAAAGAAAACAGAAGAGATTAAAAGGGTACCATGGCAGTCGATATAACAAATATCAGGTTTATCAATAACTAATATCCTTGAAAATGTTAAGTTCACCAGCACCATATTAAGGGAAACAAGGTCAAATTATATTTTCTACAAATTTTAAAATACAAAATACACATCAAACAAAGCAGAAAAAGTAATAAGTATGATTTCTGATCTGGCTTCTCACCAGCAGCTTGTAGTCGATTGCGGCCTGTCTTACATCCCGTCCACTGAAGTCATTGAAATTAAAATCGGACGGTTTGTAAAGTTGAAAATATATCCATGATGTAATTTATTTTCAAAATGTCTGCAATAAAGGAAGATGTAAAATGAAACACTGAAATAGTAAGACTCCATATGTTAGAATTAAATCCCTAAACTTTTCATGTATATTAAAAGAATATTTAAATCATATGTCTGATTGAAAAGGAAATAGTTGTTTATAGGAAGAGCTAAATTAATATTAGGGATAAATTCTACTCCCTTGTCGGTAATTCTATTGGCCACTCTCTTTGACTGAACCAACTCACCTATTATCTTGGCAGCTACTTGGAGCCCATGTTGAACTTTAAACCCTACATCCAGACTACATCATCAACCAGCCCACCAACATTCATCTTTGTTCCACTGCCTAGCTCAGACTTTTCTGTGCATGTTGAAAAGTGAAATTCTTATTCTTGTCATTCTAACATCCAGACCTCTTATCCTCCCATTTTTTACTCTCCTATTACAAAGGTGAGATTTAAAAGATTGTTATGTTTTGGAACAACGTCTTTAACTTTGAAGAAAATGGAGAAGCGTAGGGCTCATGTGACTGGTTCTGAAATTTGCCCAAAAATAAGCTTGGATGACTTAGTTGTTAAGTGTTAGAAGGCATTCCAGGTCATTTTAATGGAAAGATGGTGCAAGATGTTCATACCTGTAAATAATGGCAGGGGCATCTGTGATGATCATGAGTAGGCTGTCAGTCTCTAAGACTCCCAGGAAGATGGGAAGAATTGTTGGTTTTATAAACAGTTATATATTAAACCATCTATTTAGTTAAAGATAGAGTAGAGGTGGGTTTTTAGAGATAGAAATTTTGATTAACTATCTGGATACAAAGTCTATGCAGTTCACACTGCTATGGAAACAGACTTTGAGAAGGCAAGAGTTCATAGCAAGGTACTACAATCTTACAGGTTTCTCAAAATATTCCTGGCTCTCACAGATATGTATTTAGACTCACCTGACAGAAAGACAGAGAGCTGGGAGATAATGGCAGCCAGTCTCCACTGATCCCTGTTCAGACTACAAACTTGAACACAGGTTGAAGAAACAAAGATCGTAGGGAAGATTCATCTAGCTTTGGACAGAGGAATCACCTGGGTACCCACACCATGAAAGTCAGTCCAGGGGTTGGAAACAACCATAAAGAGAAGGAAAACAAAGGGAGCAAGCCATGAGAATAGCTTTAGACTGTATGCTGGAGAATGAAGTTCCATTTGAGGGACAGATAAAGTATATCTGTGGAATGGGACTCTCAGTCAAATGTTAAATGGGGAAATTTTTGTTTTGTAGTTTAGAGAACAAGTTGCCAATCAAGGCATCTAACAACTTCACCAGTTTCCATGAGAAACATATCTCAATGAACCTACTACCTCTTACATATTTCTGATATTTAACTGACACATCTGCCGTGTTCTAATCTGTAGCTGCACGTAAGAATTTACTTACAAACGTCAATGGGCTCCATCCTGCACTCAAGTTCACCTTGAACACAAAACAGTCAAGCAAGTTCTTTCCTCAACATGCCAGTTGGGAAATCCACTAATGGGTTCTCTACTATAGTCATAGAGCATAGAGCTGCACAGCACAGAAACAGATGCTTTGGTCCAATTCGTTTGTGCTGACCAGATATCCTAACTCAATCCTGTCCCATTTGCCAGCATTTAGCCCATATCTCTCTGAACCCTTCCTTTTTGTGTATCCATCCAGATGCCTTTTAAATGTTGTAATTGTACCAGCCTCCACCACTTCCTCCGGCAGCTCATTTCATACGCACACCATCCTCTGCGTGAAAATGTTGCCCCTTAGGTCCCTTTTAAATCTTGCCCCTCTCACCTAAATCTATGCCCTCTAGCTTTGGACTCCCCTATTCTAGGAAAAAGACCTTGGCTATTCACCCTATCCATGGCCCTCATGATTTTATAAACTTCTATAAGGTCACCCCTCAGCCTCCGATGCTCCAAGTAAAATAGCCCCAGCCTATTCAGCCTCCCCCTGTAGCTCAAATCCTCCAACCCCGCAAGGCTACCTTCACTGATCAACATATGTACTGAGACTTCTCCAACTCCAAGCACTATAAGTTTGACTGAGTCATTTGCTCACGATTCAAACTTGATGCCAAAATAGGGCGCATCAAAGCCATTTTGCTATCTGAGGCTGTTGCTCTCTAATGTGATACAAACTTATGAATTGCCTTAAGGTCACCACTTACATCTAAAAGTGCCCAGTTAACCCCAAGATTACTTTGGAAGGGTGAAGTGTCTCAAAATTTGAATGACAGGTAAAACTAGCTATTTCAGGCTGCTGCTGTGCATAGCAACATACCTAGTATTCTCCATTAAAAATAGCCTGCTGTCTAGCTAAAAAAAAATCTGCCTACTGTGAAAATGAATAATGTGGTTTTTGAAATTTTAGTGCCACAGCGATGCCAGTTAAGTAGGCTCTACACTGCAATCACTGATGGATCACTTCAAACAGCACACCAGTTGGACTGTTCACAACAATGTACTGTCAAGTAGACTGCTTGCAAAACTCAGAACACTGCCCAACATTAGATGGGATATGACAATTGCTTGGCAATCTCAATTGTGTTAAGAACTACATTAACAACCAACTTAAGACGGTCAGTCAAGCTCACAGTGTGGCTCACTTGCACATGCTAGAAGCTGCATGCAGTCACATGCAAAAGTCCTGTCTTCTGCAAACAGAAAGAACACATCCACACATTGCATCTTTCTCAACTAAATAAAAACTTTGGGGACAGCCATTCCCTTCTGAATTCCTATGGCAATGCCTTGACCAATCAGAATTTACTTGCCTACTTTGAATTTAAACCAAAGCTTGGCAGTTAACGTCTCCCTGGTGATTTCTCCATGGCAATGCCTCTACAAGAGACCACGTGCCAACCAATCAACACTCTCTTTTCATGCAATAAATTGGTATTCGTTTTGAGATTTGGTATGCTTGCAATTCGGTTGTGATGAGTGCAGGGCAAAAGATTTCACAGCCTATCTCCTTTTTTGTGCAATGATCTTTTCATTTATTAATTTTAACAGACTATCTTAATATTACATTACATAGTTAGCCAAGGTATGGTATGTGCAATAGAGATGATTATGGTACAGTTTCAGCAAGGTAAAATATATCTACAGCGCTCAGCTTTACGGTGAGTAATTGCATTACCTCAAGTACAGAAGGACTGAGCAACTTAGAAGCACCACAAGCATCAGCAACTCAGATAATTCATGTACTTTTGGATAAACAGAAATGTCCAACCTCAAACCATCTGTGTATATCATTTTATGATTTTACAATATGAAAGCTCTACATTCAATGATTTACAAAAGTGAGGATGGAATACTACCAACAACATTGTAATCAAGGAGTCTGCCAACGTCAAAGCATTGTTAAAATTGTTTGAAAAGGTAAGCAGTGAATTGAGCTTATCAATGATAACAATCTTTGAAATTACACGTGAAAATTTTAATCTGTCTAGTGATTGAGAATGCTGTAATTAAAGGCGTTTGTGTACATAACTGGTTGTTTATTGTTCTGAACTTGAAATTTTACGCACGTGAGCCACAGGTGATATTCTGGCAAGTTTTTGAATTTAACCCAAATCTGGAGGACTCAATTTACTCCACACAGATAATCTGTGCGTTGGAATAAACTTCTGAATTTGCAGTTTACTGTAACATATTGAACTGGGTCAGAATTCCAGGTGCCTCGTATTCCAGAGTAAAAACGCTGTTGGTGAACATTAACACTGATCCTGCATGCTCCAAGGAAATCACCTAATGTACAACACCATCAGGGGTGCACCCTGGAGTGCCCACCAGTCAAGGAAAGCCAGATGTTTACGTTGTCCCCAGCCATCTGGTATGTTCACTTCACTATTCTTTGCCAACGTTAATTCACATTTTGATATCCCATGTCAAATTCTGGATGACACATCTTGCAACACTATCACCCACAGTAAGAATGATTTTTGTGTTATCTTAATGTTACATTGGAACATCTCTGAACGTTTCCACAAAATGGGTCGCTCGATTGTTAACACCATTCTAAAGATATTCACCAAATGTTTACATAGCAGTTTATTAAATTTTATACATTAAATTGTTAGCTAAACTTTCAATTAATTGGAATGTACTCCTGTAACTGCCACAGCATATTTCCATATGACATTGCACAGAAACTATGTCCACTGATAAATAAAAATGTCCTATGTGTTTCATAACTTTGCTTTAAAGATAGGAAATGGCTGTTATGTTCTTGTATCATGTCTCCAGAATATTAGACTGGATCAAAAGATTACAAGCCCGATGATATTCTGACCTCCCCTTCAGTTTTTTTTTAAATAAATTCATTCATGGGATGTGGGTGCCACTAGCTGGGCCAATATTTATTGCCCATCACTAGTTGCCCTTGAGAAGATGGGGGTGAGCTGTCTTCTTGAACTGCTGCAATCCATTTGGTGGAAGCCCACAATATTTTTAAGGGAGGTAGTTCCAGGATTTTTGACCCAGTGTAGGAATGGCAATATATTTCCAAGTCAGAATGGTGAGTGCCTAGGAGGGGAACTCGCAGGTGGTGGTGTTCCAATTATAACTGCTGCCCTTATCCTTCCAGATTATAGCGACCATGGATTTGGAAAATGCTGTCTAAGGAGACATGAAGAATTTCTGCTCGTCTTGTAAATAGTACAGACTGCCAGTACCCAGTGTCAGTTGTAGTGGGGTGTATGTGTGGTCAACCAAGCGAGCTGCTTTGTCCTGGCTGGTCAAGCTTCTTCATTGTTGGTGGAGCTCCACTCATCCAGGCAAATGCATGCTGTATTCCTTGGCTTCTGCCACCTTCCAATGCTGGAAGCAATGGTTTACTTAAAATATCCTACTGACTAATACAGTGAAGTTCACTTCTAATGATGAAATCTGGGTAAGTAGAAATCCTGACAGCTTAATTACCATTACATCTGAAGGTGGAAACTGAGCAGTTCGAGCAGTGAAGAGGCAATTTAAACAGCTGTGAACAGTTCTT